TCTCGACATCAATGGGCCTCTACTTCCCAGTTGGATCGAAGCGATCAAAAACTTCGATCGGATTAGACACGGTGAGCAGAGGATGGAGTCGCTTCGAGAAAATACAACCAATTTGCGTGCTTTGCTGTTGTTTTTAATCCCATTGTCATCTTGTTTGTTATCTTGATCAGATTGGATTGATGATGGAGAGGCGTCTAAATGGCAACGACGACGACATCGGGAGTTGAACCAAGAATGCGAGAACGCTGTTTACAGACTTAAAACGTGTCCGGAACACTTGGTCCCGGAAATGAAGAAGACGATCCAACTTCTCAAAGGGGCGAGAAGATTGACCGAAGACGTCTTGCTTGAACAGTACGCCTTCTTTGAGCGTGTTGTGGAAATCAGTAATCTTGATAGATTCGTATTCATGAATCGCCAACAATTGTGATTCCTCTCAATGCAGGAAATGCTGGGAGCCTCCAACGCGTCCTGGTGGTTACCGCGTTCAAGCTCATCAACAAGCAACTAATGATGTCCAACGAGGTGTTCTGTATGATCGTGACGGAAGAGAAGCAATTATCGTTCCATCAGTCAGCCAAGCACATTTACAGACAGAAGTTGCCCGAATCCTTCTCTATGTCTTGTCTCTTCATCCCTCTTATACAGACTTGGGGACATGATATCAAGGAGGTGTGTCTCTTTGTCTCTATTAGAAGTTTGATGTCATCAGTGTCCCAAATGATCGTTTGGTCATGCGTTCTTCAGAGTATCATGGAATCGTTTTGTGATGCTCTGGCTCTCTCATCCTTCTCTGCTCAACTTCTTTACAAACCCTCTATGGCAGTTGAGTCGTTATTTCGCGTCCCTTCATCTTCAATCTTTCCTTCACTTGATAGATCATTCACTCTCGATAGAATCACGTGTGAAAATTGTGAAGCTTTGATTCAAATCGACATCATTGGAGAATTGGAAGAGGACGATGGGGAGCCTTTCTGGTGAGATGATCTGTATGTTTATGGTGTATATTTGATGTACGATGTATGTTTGATGTATCGGAGCGTTTCCAATGATGTCTACAGCAACACATCTTCTGTCTTCAGGAAATGCTCCAGTTGTTCGAGTCATTTGACAGCCGTCGCTATCGAGCCACTTCTCGTCGATGCTATCTGGCGATCTGTTGAATTCGCGCAGGTCAGATTGAAACAAACCTTGAGACGATAGATCACACAAATAATATTATCAGATACAAGAACTTGTTTGCTGGAGATGCCGTGGATTGAAGAAAGATCCCATGAAAACATATTGTCACTGTGGCGGTGATTACCATCCAAGAACCCCCTAATGTTGACTTTCGGTGGGTGACTACTCTGTTATTGCTTCATAACATCTAGACGATCAGATTGACATTTCAAACTGCTCGGAGTATCGTTGAGAAATATCCTCAAGATTTCACGCACGCCCTTCAATGTCTCGACAATCTTAAAAGTTTAGGATTGTAATCGTGCGCCTAGCGTTCCTTCATCTGAATCGATTTTCTTGAATATGTTTTGTTTTTGATCACACGATGCACTTCTCACCTTTTCTGGGATCAAATGGAACGCCTCGTGTTGAGGAAAGCTCTCATAGAACCTGATGCGACGCTCCATTTTGTCAGCAATTCCATCCTCAGAAACATTGTGCGATCAACACTCGTACTTAGAAATGGTTCAACGTGCTCCACCAAACGAGCTCACCAGGTGTGCCTTGCTAGTTTTTCAACAGCTTCAACGCGTATGTACGACAATGAGTTCCGCAGCAAGTCTCTTCCAACATCATCCTCCGTCTGAATACCAGCTGATGGTTTCAACAAACATCACTGACTGTCTTCGTCTGTTGAAAAATTTAGAAACTTCTTCTTTTGCTGATTCCACTTTGGAGGAACTCGCTTCCTTCGTTACTATTTTGAGCAATTATCGCAAACAAATTCATCGAAAACAAGCGAAGTCACGAGATCAATCGTCTCAAAACATATCCGCAGTGCTGGACCTCTACTTCCTCTACGATTGAACATCTTTGTCGTCGTCTGGCGGAAAACCTTTACGTTTTAACCCATCCTGATGAATTTCTTGAAATCGCGTTGACCATTGCGAGTTCAGGAGGCTCATCAACTCTCCTCATTGAGCATGTTTTGGAACGCTTGGATTGTCTTTGCCAGCTCGATCGTGTTCAAAGTCCGAAACAATTGCTAGCAGCGATGAGCTTCTTATCGAACCTCAATGCCGACTTGTCCAGATTATCTCAAGCAGAGAAATCTTCAGTCATTCAATCAAACGGTTCAAATTTATCAGTCAGTCAAAGCATCTATGAAGATAAACGCATCGGAAACAACGAAGGCGTTCTCCACACCAACAGGACGTCCTGCATTTCTGCTGCCTCCGCAACGCGCAAGGTTGGAAGAGTCCGCAGAAAACCAAATTATCTCTGACAAGAGAATGAAGCATTTGACGGAGAAAATCGCAAAACATCTTTCTGTTAAACTGGCGTCATACCCATTATTGAGCTCATTGAATATCCATGGAATAATAGAGTTATTGAAAGGTCTGGCATGGATTAACTTTTCTCCTCATAACGCTATCCCGCCAATCAGTGAGCAAACTTGTAGGAGTGAAGTTGTTTCGGAAAATGTCTCACTCGGGTCACCAGTTCTTCGCCTCTCTCGTTTTTCTCAGCTTATTGGTTGCACAAACATTTATCGTCCATACAAAAGGATGCCCTATCCCACTTGGAGCGAATTGCTAACACTGAATCTCATGCGGTTGATGTCCAATCCGTCAAGCAATTGACCGTGCGATTATCAACAACGGATGCGATTGACCTGTTATGCTCTGTGTCTCATTTGAAAATTGCACATCACTCTGGTATTGGAAAAATGGTGTCGGAGATTTTGGCTTCTGTAAGTGTTCGCCTTCACTCATTGCTTGTCCTTCACTTATTGCTTGCCTTTTAGAGAATAGCACTTCTTTCCGCGTCCCAATTGTTTCTCGTTCTACGGCATCTTTCCAAATCTGAAACGCGCCCTTCCGTGTTCATTTTGGAGCTTATCAGAACTGATCGATTGCTTTCTATGTGAGTCTAGCGCGCGGAACCAAAACGCACTAAGCAGCGATTCTTGGCATTTAGACTTCGAGCGACGGACGAGTTTCCACCTTCTTGGGGCCTCGACCTTCTGTCTTCCCTCGCTGGTTTGAGATTCCGACACCCACCAACACTCTCAATCATCTTGAACAAAGGAGTTTATCCATTTATCGAGGCGCAAACAGTTCTTACCAACTCCCCCGATTCGGCCTCTCTTCCCTCAATGGTGGGTGAAATAAATTGAGAAACTGTTCTAGAAATTCAATTCATTGTTCTAATTCTTCAGAGCATTATGACTCCAGCTGCAGTTGCTGAATTGGCGTTCAGCTTGTACCGTTTGGATCTCTTCGACGAGAAGATTTTAGACTTCGTACTGAACAACTTCTCAACAAAACAACAAGTTTGTAAGCGCTCCGTTTCATCTAGTTGATGTTGATAAGTCTTCCGTTCTTTCAGCTTCTTTGGCCCTCGGTGGTTTAGCAGATCTTCTTCTTTCTGTCGCGTTCTTTTCTTTTGGGACTCCAGAGTTTTTTGATCAAGCGCTGTGTGTGGTACGTTTTCCTCTTCGATGCAATCTGTGGTTGACGTCTTGTTGGTCTCAGATCTCTTCTCGTATCATTAATGGCAGTCAAGACGGAATTAAACAGCTTTTCTACATTCAAATGCTGTGCCAGTAAGAGATTCTCTCTTGCGTGTCTTATAGTTTCTTCATTTCAGAATTGGCCATCTTCATTTTTCTGCCAAGAACAAACTCTCTGATGCTTCAATTCAGTGTCTTGAACGGATTCGAAGTTTGACTCTTCCTCATTCCGACAACCCCGAGTCGCGTTTCCTATTTGATGTGAAGACAGCCGCAACACGCTTGCTGTACAACGTCCACGACGAGGTAAGAGCTGTCGTTGTCCCTGACTGGAAAATGGGGACCATCAGTTCTTCTTTGAGCCTCCCTCTCTATTCCTGCCATTGCTCCACATCTTCAGGTTCCATTCGGGCCGATGAGACTGAATATTGCTCAGAAGTTGGATCCCTACCAAATGAAACTCCAGCGCGACAACCATGAGCGACAACGAGCGATGCGTGTCGGTTTGCGAGCACCTCCAGCAAGTAAAACTGTGCGACACTCACGTAAGAGCTTGTTTACAGAGGGCAAGTGGAAGGAAAATTTTTTATATCTGTATTTTCCTTTAAGTTGTCGATTTGAAAAGGAATGGCGTTGTCTTGCTGACATGGCATTACGAGGATTACTTTTGGGGAACTAGTCTCCTGTAAGGTCATCTGAGCGAACTCGACATCCATCGATCTTTGGACGTTTCAGGCTTCCTCAGTTGAAGCTACAAAAGCTCATTCTTGATCGTTCAAAGTTCAAGTTCATTGAAGTCGATCAAAGTCTGTGGAATCGGCTCCCGTCTTCCGAGGCAAAGATCGAATTTGTGCGGTATGTGAATTGAGGAGAGCGATGAATAACTTGTGTTTCACTAGGCGTGCCATTCAAGTTGCTGTCGTTGAAAAACAGAAGACGAAGATGTTCGAAGCGGCTGAGTGGACAGACGAAAGAGAAGACGCTGAGCATCTTGAAGAATTAGTTAATTCAAGAAGGAGAGGCGTGACACTTCGAAGACGCCCGTGGACGCCTTGTGAAGCTCGAAAACGTTTGATGCTCACGATTGAAAGACAACGTTTGCGAAATGGCAAATCGTTAGCTAGTGAGCTAATTGATCGGGACGCCATATCTCAACGTGTTGTCGAGCGTATGCGCCACCAAAGAATCCGTTTAAATATTGAGGGTAGAATAAAAAATAGAAAACGCAACGCTGAGAAGGTTCAGCTGAAAAATTTTTCCGTTGGGAGCTGAAAACCTTTTGCATGCGGTTTCGATACCAGAGCGCAACCTGATCAGTCTGGTAATGTTGAAGGCTGGACGTCTTCTTTTCCCGCGGCAACGTCTTCTTTTCCCGCGGCGTCTCGCTGTTTATGGCAAGCCATTGACGACTCTCACCTCCCAGCAGCGCTTTTATGATGCTTCACCGCGCCGGGGTGGTGGAGGTGGAGAGCGATTTCGGGGTGGTGGAGGTGGAGACCGATTCAAAGACGAGTTCCGGCCGCCGCGTCAATCCGGAAACTCACGTTCAGATGACCGGGACTACAACTACGTCCCCAGCGATAGAAGGAGAGACTCGCAAGCATCGCCATCGCTTAAAACGAATTTTTTTGAACAGTCTCGATCCTATGGAAGATCAAATAGCGGATCGAGTCAGGGAAGAGGTGATGGGAGGAGTGATGTTCCAAGGCGCGGCAACAAGTTCAATGCTGGACGTCAACTGAAACCGATTCATTGGGATACAGAAAATCTTATGCCGTTCACGAAGAACTTTTACAAGGAGCAACCTGCAGTTGCAAATCGGTCAGTCGAGGAAATCAAAAAACTTTTAAAGGAACAGCAAATTTCGATTGAAGGAAAAGCTCCAATTCCAAAGCCGATCAGCAACTTCGCTGAAGCAGGATTGCCTGACCACATACAGAAAGTTCTCACTGCGAATAATTTGAAAGAACCGACAGCAATTCAAAAGATTGGGTTTCCAGTCGCTTTGTCAGGACGCGACCTCATCGGTGTATCACGCACTGGAAGCGGGAAAACACTTGCATTTGTTGTTCCGGCGCTGATCCACATCGCCGCACAGCCGCCATTACGACCGCGTGATGGTCCGGTAGCCCTCATTCTCGCTCCGACCCGTGAGCTCGCCTGCCAAATTCATGAAGAGGCTGGTCGCTTTTCCAGGTCACGCCAGATTCGGTGTACGGCGGTGTACGGAGGAGCGCCTCGCTACCATCAGGAATCGCAACTCGTTCGCGGAACGGAAGTCATCATTGCTTGTCCGGGCCGACTTCTGGATTTTCTTGAAAGTGAAGTCACATCACTGAAGCGGGTTACCTATCTTGTACTAGATGAAGCTGATAGAATGCTGGATATGGGTTTTGAGCCTCAAATAAGGAGTATCGTTTCTCAAATTCGGCCAGACAGGCAAACACTGATGTACTCCGCGACATGGCCCCAAAGTGTAAACGCGCTTGCCAGAGATTTCTGCAGGGAAGCTCCTGTGTGTGTCAAGGTACCCAGATACGCCATTATGTTTTGTCAGCTCTTTTCTGGCAGGTTGGGAATCTAGAGTTACATGCGAACTCGGATGTGAAACAAGAAATTGTTCTCGTCAGTAGATCAGAAAAAGATAGAAAATTTTCCGAGTGGATTACAAAGATGTTCTCGAGTAGCGATGGGCGACCTCCGAAAATTCTAGTGTTTTGTGGAACCAGATCGTTCTGCGACCGATTAACTCGCGACTTGGTCGGCAGAGGAAAGGGCGCTGTAGCAATCCATGGACAGAAAACACAGAGAGATCGAGACCGCGCTATTGGCGAGTTCAAAAGCGGCGCAAGACAAATTCTAGTTGCCACTGATGTCGCAGCAAGAGGTCTCGATATTTCAGACGTCACCGCCGTGGTGAATTATGATCTTCCGAAGACGATTGAAGATTATGTCCATCGAATCGGAAGAACAGGAAGAGCCGGAAAGAAGGGAACCGCGGTCACGTTTTTTTCCTAATGATGACCGTTCATCCGATGCCTTGCGGATGGCAAGAGAAATTTCGAGAATAATGACTCTCGCTGGACAGACTCCACCGGCAGAGCTTTCACGCCCTAGTTGGTAACCCAAATTTTTTTCTGTTGTTTTCATACTTGGAGTTCTTCCGTCGATTTTTTTCTCCAGCACTACACTCCCCACGACAGCATGCAGTAGGTCTAGGAGGATCCCACGCTCATCATCCAATTATCCAACCATTCTTGAACCTCCTCTTCTAATTCAGCCACTCTTTCAACCACATTCATTATGGAGCAAGTTACAATTTCCCAGTTTCTTCTTCGTCGGCTCAAAGAAGCTGGTTGCAATGATATCTTTGGCGTTCCAGGAGATTTTGTTTTGGGCTTCTTTAATCAAATTCTCAAGAGCGACGTCAATTATGTCGGAACCTGCAACGAATTAAACGCCGCTTACGCCGCTGATGCCTACGCTCGTCTCAACGGAATCGGCTGCGTTTCTACGACATACGCAGTTGGAGAATTGTCCGGAATCAATGGCGTTGCTGGATCGTTCGCTGAGTCCGTTCCTGTCGTCAAAATTACTGGAACACCAGCAACCAAATTTTATCGCGATCGGCCTCTTCTTCACCACACAATAGGAGACTACGATTCGCCCCTCAAAATGTATTCCCACGTTACTGTCGCGCAAACTATGCTGAACAATCCCGAAACTGCTGTATCGGAAATCGATCGAGTATTGACAGCCTGTTTGAAGCGCAAGGCTCCTGTGTACATCGGCCTTCCTTCTGATATGGTTCTTCGTATGATTGATGCTCCTATCGCTCCATTTGTTCATCCACAAGAATCCAAGTCCGACCCAGGTGCCCTCGATGAAGCGGTTTTGGAAACCTTGCGATTGCTCCATCAATGTCGACGCCCCATTTTTATCCCTGGAATCGAAATTAGCCGACGGAGGCTTCAGGCAGATTTTGAGAAGCTCCTCAATGCCTCTGGTATCCCTTTTACGACCATGATGCTTGCTAAGTCAATTTTCAATGAAGACCACAAGCAGTTTATCGGTCTCTATTGTGGCGATCGAAGTCGTCCATATGTTCAACAACGTGTCGAAGGTGCCGACTGTGTTGTCATTTTCGGCGAACGACTTACGGACTTCAATACGGGAGGCTTCTCGGCCAACATGGACAGACGCAGTACGATCGAAGTCACGTACGATTGCGTCAGAATCATGTTCCATGCGTACAACAACGTCTACATCCATGATTTCGTGAGGGAACTTGCTGCCAGAATATCTTTCCGGGTTCCGAAAAACCTTGATATGAAACCAGCAATTGAAGGCTGTGTTCATCGTCGGACAGTAGACTTCAAAGCTGACAATGAGAAGAATCTAACAATGGCGCGATTCTTTGATAGGATGTCCCATTTCTTGCAATCAGGATCCGTTGTCATCGCTGAAACTGGTGCTTCGCTTTTCTCAGCTGCAGAAGTATTGATGCCAAAAGGGACAACCTTTATTGGGCAAACATTCTACGGTAAGTCACCCATCTATCTCAGTTGTTTTTTCCCTCTGTTTTTTCATCATACCCATTGTATTTCGGTTTGTATTCAGGATCCATTGGTTACACAGTTGGTGCGACACTTGGTGCTTGCATCGCTGCACCTCATCGTCCTGTGTATCTTTTTATTGGCGACGGGTCATTCCAAGTCACATGTCAAGATCTATCTACCATGATCCGGTATGGATGCAAACCAACTGTATTCCTGGTGAACAACGACGGTTATACAATCGAGCGGGTTATTGTTGATCGTAAATACAATGATATCCAGCCATGGAAGTATCACAAATTGTGCGACGTATTCGGAGGCGGAAAGTCGTATGACGTTCATAATGAAGGACAACTAGAAGAAGCGTTGAAAGAAACATGCCAAAATAATCAGATGCTGAACTTCATCGAGATTCATTTGGACAGATGGGATTGTAATGATGCTCTTCGTCGTGCTGGCCACGCGTAAGTTTGCTCGTCATTTTCCATTCTTGACGAGACCGTTGTTTGTCAGGATGGCTGTCAACAATCGTCTACTTGACGAAGATGAGTTGAAGAATTCAACGGGAAGTTGTTTTGCTGTAAACGAGGAAAATGATCTAAAGCGTTGCGCTGATGTTGTTCCTCATTATTCCGAATAGCTAGCTTGCACGTTGATCATTGACCCATTTTTTGGAGTCACTTTTTCTCGAATTTTGAACTGTTCAGATCAGATATTCAAATATTCAAAATCGCGCTGCGTGTGAAAGTGGTCTGTTCGTGTGAAAGTGGTCTGTTTGGTCCGTTAAAGGCAGGCTTCGCTGCCTTGGTTCGAGTTGGGGAACGGCGGTGTCACTGTCCATTTTGTTAGGGTTCACGAGGGGTTTGTTAACAGGTGAGGAAAAACATTCAGACAGATTTTGGGACGACCCATGGAACAGAAAACTTGGGTGAGGAAACAGATCAACAGACGACAAAACACAGTAGAGCAGGCTAACACACAAGTCGCACAGCGGAGTCGACCTACGCGACTAGACACTTTTAGCAGGCGCGAGAACGGTTCCTACTGTCAATTTATTGTTCCACTGTTCGAGTGAAGAGACCGTCAAGCGTGCAACACATGGAGACGTAGGGAAAATTTCAAATACTTGTTGAGTCAACTCGCATTATTAGCTTTAAGAACAGTAGAATCCAATGGGCAAATATTGAGGGTTAACACTGCACAACTAATGTATACAAAAGGATTTCCTTCTTCTTTCAAAAGTGACCTTTTCCTGACGTTAATTCGGGATCAATTCGATTTTGTTGCGAATCAAGAGTTCGAAGGGGTTCATTTACTGGCTCTCTTCAGGACTGCTGACAAGTTCATTCAACTACGTAAACTATCGTTTATTTTGGACGTTCAGCAGCAGGACCAACTCCAACGTACATGTTGGTACTGAGAGTGTTGAATCACTCCAAATCCGCTTTTCGGGCTTGTCAGCAGGTTTTCCAAGCTAACTTCGAAGAATTGGAATGTTACTGGAATGATCTATCCAGAAGCATTTGAGCATTCAGTTGCGGCATTTAGACCATTCTGACGCACCACTTGACCATGGCCTACAACGCCAAAGTCATGTGGAGAGTTCTGACGGCTTACGGCATGCGATCGTCAGCGATACCGAGGGTCGAATTCACCAGTTAGTCGCAGAAAGAAGGGAAAAGACGCTTGGGCTGAATCTTCTCAACGACGGGATTTGTGGGTCCATGAGCAACTAAAGGGATCGAAAGTATTCCAAACAACAGATTGTTCGAGCCTCATCGCGGGATAGGGGACGGAGATTGCATCCAACTATGACTCGGAGTCGTTATGGGAATCCAGAACCCATTGCCACTACTACTCGTCCCGGTTACACGTTGCAAGACGTCCACGACCGACCCCTATCTGTTCCCGGTGTCTACAGTCCTTGAAGATTTGTCTTTGTTAAGGTTCTTTACCTCAAGTTTAAAGGTTAAATACCTTCTACAATCCTGGTATACGTCTCTGGTTACCAACACGTCTACAAAGCCGGTCATTCGGACGAATTACAACCTCCATCCCTCCCTCTTATCCATCCACTCCCCCACTCCCTACACGTTAGTTAATGATGACCTTGTCAATAGCCCTGAAAGACGTGTGTACGTCATATGACATCGCTTGAGCGATCCAGATTTTTTTGGGATTGTAGCAAGTTCTCGAAGAATTGAAGAATGGCCATGTGACATCCCAAAAGTACAAGAGGTGGTACACATTTTCAGCCCCGTGGACATCGTGATGTCCAGCTCTCTCCCCGATTTTTTTCAGCAGACTTCTGACCGCTAGAAGCTATTGCCGATCCAGTACTTCATAGAGATTATTTCGCATACCACTGATCCTTTCCAAGCGGCTCTGAGGGGGAGCAAACCTCGCTCATCAACAATTTGATAACACACATTCCAACTTTCCCAAATATGATCTGGTGGTGTGCGACAGGGACCGTGTCGTGCTTTTCATGCAAACTACCATTTCTGGTGCTCACAAGCCAGTGGACGTCGCCGCTCATGGTTCGCGAGTGTGCGCTACTCTCAATCTTCTTGGGGATTGCTTCTTCCGTACTTTGTCCAGCGAATCACCTTCCGGAGGTGTCTATGATATATCTTTTGAATTCTTTGCTACCATCTGCAAAGGAAACACTACTCCAACTGCTGCCCATCCTTTTTCAGGTTTAACCAGTTGTTCTTGTCATGTGAACCAGGCGATTGACACAGGGAGGTGTTCCGCTTCCATAATTCTGGTGATCCTCGCCGGCAAGTGACCCATACAAGGACCGAGGATTTGGCATCACCTTCTGTCCATCCAATGTATTAAGCCTGCCCAAATCTCGATCCGAACGGTTCTCTAAAACAGATTTGGGATGTTTTGCACACAGTTTTTGGCAAGCAAAGAACAGATCAACAAGCTTCTACGGATTGAAATTCAGCAGCGACGGCAACATAAGAACACGTGGCTAATATTGAACAGATGACGCGACAACTTCAAGGCACTGGACGTGAAATTTAACTTACCAAGATAACGTCATGATCGGCCATGACGAACTAGCTGAAGCAACCCGAATTTATAACCAAGTGAGCGACAATTTCCTACAAAAAGGAGCAACAATAAACTGGCTGAAAAGTAAAAAGCCGACAAGCAATGCTCAATCCATCTTGGGCTTCACAACAATTAGACGTGATCCGCCCAGCCACTCCAGCAGACTGGAAGTCGCCTCTTACTTTGGTACTATGGTATGACAAGACCAAGACGCAAATACCAAATGAATTCCGGGTCTGTCTGGATGTGACAAGAATTAACATGACGTTTCAGCGGATTCCAATCAGCCTCCCAATCACCACGGAAATTACTACGTCTGTCAAAAATCGCCGTAGAATTCTCAGAAGAAATTGTTGAAGCCTGCCTGCATTTGCGCAGACCAAGGGGATTCGATGACTTGTACAGGAGTCGTCACCCAAAGCAGCAGTGGTAGTAGTTAACGCGCAAACGGTAAGCTCAATCAACACGGTTCCGTATTGCTGATTATTCTATGTCTATTACTTATTCCCATTTGATGTACAATGTTGTTTGGTCTCCGTCAGTGTAAATTGTTGTCATATCTCACATCAGATGCAACGCGGTAATAACGAAGCGTAGTTTTGGCTTTGCGTTGACGATATGTACATGCCAAAGGACGCCTCTTTTCCCTCCTTGCCCTCCTCATATGTTCAAAGGCATGTACAAGTCCCTTTCTGGACGGATAACTTATCCTCCCACATTCAGAGATGAAGGAAGAGACAAGAAGAGCGATGACGACGATGAGAAGGACGTCGACAACCAGCAGTATCCTTGTTAGAATTCTCAAACCATCCATCTGTTCTCAGAGTGCTGCAACGGTCCCCTCCTCCTCTTTGTCTTTCTTCCCCTTCCCGCCGTTCTCATTCCTCTTCTCGTTCCTCCTCCTGTTTGTCTTTCACTTCCCGCCATTCCCCTCCAACTATCACGACGGTATGTACAAGTCTTTGTCTGAATAGATAACGTATCCTTCTACTCTCAGGGAGCCTTTCTTCCATTCTCGTTCCTCCTCCCGCCCGTCCTCCCATTCCCTTCCGTATGTTCGCATCCTCGTTTAAATCGCAACGTAACGTATCCTTCTGCTTTCAGACTTTGAGATTCCGATATGATCGCGCCCACCTCAAAACCCTTTGCCCGGAAACACTGGAGCAAACCGACAACCAAAGAATCCTGGATTTGCTCGTCCAGAACTTCGTCAACGGACGAAGCTTCGTCCCGAATAAGGAGCTGCTGAAGGTCCTGCTGACGATCTTCTGAATATCCTCCTGACGAACTTAGCAACTGCTGCCCCGTACTGGCACATCAAATTCCTGATTTATTTTCCATGCGAGGCGCCAATTTCAAAGGTTCCAAATCTTTGCAAGGAAAGAATATGTGAGCAACAGAATCTTTACCATTTTGCCCAAGCACCTGTGCCCTCAGTTGTTTTTGGTCAGCTGTAAATTGGAATCCAGATCTTGAAGCGGCACCAGAAAGGGCTGATAAATCAAGGATTGCCGAAACTGCGGAGCTTTTCTCATCCAAAGATTGTCTTGACACAAGCCACTTCCAACGAAGCACCCTAATTCAGGCTCACAAACATAAATGGGTTACACACTTACACCCCTGTCTGATGGGTACAGTTTGTTGGCCGTCATCTATGGTGTTCCCGGTTATAGAACCAAAGAACTATTATTTCGAGATCAACGTCGATCCCTTCAAACGACGGGGAGGTTACTTGATGTCCTCAGATCTGATTAGGCGCGGAAGATTAATCCAGACTTTTGAAGATGGATCGGAGCCCATAAACACCGAATTGCGTCTATAACATGGAAGGAGTGCGAATCCTCGTGGCGATCCCGGAAACATGAGCTACTACATCAGTGATGCGCAAAGAAGGCAACTGAATTTCCGTATACCACAAGAACTGGGGTACAAGCCGAATGTCGGGATTACATACCGCTATGGACAAAAACAGTATTGAGTCGGGCGAAAGATATTGAGTCCATGATGAAGTTTATCCGGTGAACCAAATTCGAAGTGTATCAATACACGAACAGCCTCGGGATACTACCTGAACGTCTCCCTTGGGATTTAGAACGGGGTAGGGCTCCCTTTCAAAATTTTCCAAACAACGGTCGATTCATGCCCCCAACGTGCAACAACCGGTTACAACAAGGACCAGAGCTCCACCACAACCGGTTAAAGAAGAAACGAGAGCTCCTTCACCACCGTCTAAACGAGTGTATGAAGTCATATCAGACGAAGAAAGTCCCAGAAGTGCGCGAGACAACTCCAAAGCTATCGTCGCGTACAAAAAGAGCGCCAACAGAAGCCGACAGGGTAGTTCTGAAGACAAGGAACGTGATTACCGGAAAGGCGAATCCAAAAGATCAAATTCACCTGTTAGCCGTGGAAAGAAGAGCAAGGACGCTTGGGCCGGGTCATCAAATAGAAAAGATTCCTGGGTACGGGAACAAGAGCGACTCCAACGAAAGGAGAAATAGAAGAAGTACTACAAACAACAGATCGTCCGACCTCATTTGCGGGATAGAAGACGAAGGTCACCATCTTCCAGTT